AGCAGCTGAATTCCGGGCATAAATTTCAACGAAGAGATGGACATTTCTACATATACCATAAATTTCTTTCTTTTCGATGAAATTTATGCCCCGAATTCAGCTGCAGGATAGTTTGAATGGCTGAGCACATAAAAAATCCGCGCTTTTTTGTGTGTATTTTTTTGATTAAATAAAATTAAAAAACTAAAAAAATCTAGTTACAAAATTCATGGAACAACCTAACTCTGAGAATTTTCTTAACTTTGAGATGCTTAAATTTATGAGATCCGGATTTTATGTGATTTCATTCCAAAAAGCATGAACAAACGGTAATTGCTTGTTCAAAATCAGTAAGCTTTTAAGGTTCCCTCAATCGAGTAATCAAATTTATTGTCTCACCATTAAAGTAATAGTAAGCCTTAATGTCATATTATTGGTCACAGAAAAAATGTACCCAAAAACAAGTTGCCTGAACGCAATTTGATTGAATAGTTTTCGCGAGATTTTATTTAACTGTAGTTTAGCAAAATAAAAAAATGCAACGCCCCCCCCCCCCCCCCCCTTCCCTAGGCCCCCTCCAGATAAATTTTCTAGCTACCCAATGTCAACTGTAAGAAAAGCATCATAAAATTGCTTGGCTGCCAATGACAGTTCGTGACAGCAGCCGTCTGGCTGCATTTGACGTTCCATTTTTCTCTCTTCGCAACTCTCCCTCAGGTTCAACCTAAAGCCCTACAGTAAAAGTATGGACGACTGACACCACAAAACTGAAAAAAGCTGTTCCAATCGAGCAAAGCAGTGCATTTTGACGGTTCGATTGGAACAACTTTTGACAGACGTCCATACTTTTACTGTAGGGCTTTAGTTCAACCTATATCACAGAAAAACAAAACTACCCACCGCTTGGGTTTTTTGAACTCAAATTTGAGTTATTTGACCTCTGCCCGTTTCATTTTCTCTCGCTATTGTTGTCAAAAATAGAACGAAAGATTCGACTCAACCGTCTAGTTCCGTACGAGAAGCCAAAATTGAGTAATATGCGATATACCCCATTTTGAGTTAATTGAACTTAATTTTGGGTAGAAAAAATTGAAAATAACTTAGCGATGGGTAATTTTTTTGCCGTGCTTAAATGCAAACTACTTTGAGCCGGTTTACCCAAATTTGGTTTATCGTACGGAACATGGGAGATGAGTGAAAAGAACTTAATTTTGGGTTGTTTTGAATTTCTGTGAGATACTATAGATTCCATAGATAAGCGGAGGCAGAACAAGTTGTTTTGGCAACCATGAAAAATAAATGATCTTACTCAAAGTCGATGTTATAATAAGAGTCGCATCAAGAGAAAATGTTGCGAACAAGCAGCACTGTTTGCGATTTATTTTTCGTCAGAGTAAACAACAACAAGATTTTTTGCGTTAGCATCGGATGACTTTCATTAAGAAATGAAACATTTCATGTCGATAACGGAGCTTTTGGGAAACAATAACAATTATAGAACCTGAAAATGTTCAAACAAGTGCTTGGTATAACTTATAAATACCACAAGGTACTAAATACAGCGAAGAAAGTCAGTAATGAATGCAATACTTGTAGTTCACTGGCTGTGGAACAATAATGTTTATTTACTTTGCTTGTTTGGTACCCCGCTTGACAGTTCGATTGGTACTTCTGGCTAGAAATACTCATAGGGAGAGATGGGCGGAGAGAATGTTTTGAGCCAAATGAACTGTCAAAATCTGAGCCAATCGAACATTCCAATTAGAATTTTTCCGATGATTTCTTATTCTTTCTAGAATAAATTTGAGAGTATTGCAGTCGAACAGAAATTCAATCACCTTTATGTTTTGTGTGCTTCTCAAATTCAACTAGTTTTTGGAACCAAAAACAATATTCTAACTCTATTGATTAATTGATCTTCGTTGGTTAATGAATGGCACCAAGAAATGTGCAAATATTGCGATGCAATCAATTATTATTTTGCACGTAAATCGAATCAAAAATAAAAGTCATTTGAAATGCTAGCTTCTAGCAAGGGTTGCAAGATAATTTAGGAACAAATCCCTGCTGCCGAATTGTATTCTGTTTTCTCCGCCTATCTCTCCCTTTGAGTATTTCTACTTCTGGCTAGAAATACTCAGAGGGAGAAATAAGCGGAGAGAATGTTTTGAGCCAAATGAACTGTCACAATCTGAGCCAATCGAACATTCCCATTAGATTTTTTCCGAGGATTTATTATTCTTACTAGATTAAATTTGAGAATATTGCAATCAAACAGAAATTCAATCACCTTTATGTTTCGTGTGCTTTACCAATTCAACTAGTTTTTGGAATCAAAAACAATATTCTAGCTCTATTGATTAATTGATCTTAGTTGGTTAACTAATAGCACCAAGAAATGTGCAAAATATTGCGATGCACTCAATTATTATTTTGCATGTTGAATCAAAAGTAAAAGTCATGTGGAATGCTAGCTTCTAGCAAGGGTTGCAAGATAATTTAGGTAAAAATCCCTGCGTCCGAATTGTATTTTGTTTTCTCCGCCCATCTCTCCCTCTGAGTATTTCTACTTCTGGCTTCACTCTTGACGGGACTCTTATTATAACATTGACTCTGAGTAAGATCATTTATTTTTTCTGATCTTATACCCCGTACAGACTATGGCTTATATCATGTAATATAGGCTGTCTTGCAATGAGCACTCATACATCTAGTTTTCACTGAAAATTCTATGTATGAGTGCTCATTGCAAGACAGCCTATATTACATGATATAAGCCATAGTCTGTACGGGGTATTACCATAGAGGTAACTCTAAGACCACTGGGTCCCGAAGAAAATCATTATTATTTTTGGCTCACTCAGTACCAGAACAACGGTCCCAAGCAGTCCCAAGCTATTTCACTCACCCCTGCATGTTCTGCATGAATCCACACACCCCTGATGTTATCTGTCAAACTTTCATAGCGAATCAAAACAAACATAGTGTAGTAATAGAATTTCAACTAGAATAGGGTACGTTAATCGTTTGCTTGGGACCAATAGGCTACTAAAGTGGTGAGCCAATTTAAAATCGTTAGTTTCGTATTGATTGTTGGTATTACGGGCATCCATGAAAAATGTTCATGGCATCATAGAACTCTTCGTTGTGCAGTTTAGTTTTGTTTTGCTTTGTTTCGTGCGCAAAAGTTCAAAATGAAGTGCTAAGCAAATCTTTGCAACAACGAATCGAGAAGTGGTTTGCGTTACATTTCCTTCTTCCGTTTTACGCGAAATCAATCGGAATGTGGAGTGTGGAAAGGGTTTTGTGCTCATAATATTACAATACTTCTCCCGCAAAAAAAACCCCATGATTACGTCATGCTCATTTGGCTACACTAAGTGACAGTTCGTTGGCTACATTCTAGTTTGCCTCCGATTATCTATGGAATCTAATAGTATCTGTTGGAAGATTGCCGCTAAAGCTCAACGCAGATGTCGCCATTGCATGATGATGATAATGTTGACAGACTGCTTATAAAATTCGTGAAAATTAGCATTAAATCATAATTTCATCAAACCTGCGTGAAATCCTTCCAATATAACATTCGAATTGAAGAAGAAAACGTTTTTACGATCAGACTGATGTGCATTTTTGACTTTTCCAGGTGAACTTTCATAAGATATATTCATTTCATTTCACGGCTCCATCAATGCTGCATCGTAAATATGATGATAAACAGAAGTAAATTGCTCAATTACTCAAAATAAAGATGATTTGTCATCTTGTTATCACTTTGAAGACCATCTAGCACCATTTTATAGCATGGTGCGTGTTGAGTAAATCAAGTTCCGGTGTGTTTTCCGTCGAAAATTGTGAGTATCAATATGTTTGCTTAAAAAAGGCCAAAATGAACATTTCTAGATAGAGCTGGAATTAGGGTGTAACAGCCTTTGTAAACAATGACTTCTCTCATTGATTTCTAGGAATTCAAGGCACGCCTACACAAACCAACATATCCACCAAGTAGGGGAAGCCTTCCCCTACTCGATGGTTATATCGATTTGCCAAGGAGAGCCATGAGTTTTGAGAAATCCTCGATAGAAGTCATTGTTTACAAAAGCTGTTACGCCCTAATTCCAGCTCTATCTAGATTTATTGAATATTAGCGTCCTATACAACCAATTCTCTATTACCACCAGCATGATACAACCTTTCCTAAGTAAATTCACTTAATTTCCCTTTTCATCTTAGTGAAAATCGCACATATTTACCATTTTCTGAAAAATGCAGCTGCGCAGGAGGTAACCTCTCCCTGTGGGTGCAAACTTGTTATGCAAAATTTTCCATGAAAACATCTCCGATCCATACCGAAATAATAACAAATAGTTTTCAAACACGTTTTCTTACACGATTCAAGCAAAAGTTTCCACGGGAAATTCTTAGTTTTTCTTTATGGACCGATTTGCCCCAAAAAGCGTCTGTTTTACTTGGAAAATTTAGAAACTATCCTACTTCTAGTAGTTCTCACTTCGAAATGTAGGTGGCGAAAGCTTGGAAAAGTTTCACTGCAAGACGCCAATAGTTCAAACTATTTCGGCCTTTTATGTTAGGTCCATACATTTCCAACCTTTTTTCGTTCGACCTTCTTTCCCCTTCCCAAAATATCAAGCCAAACAGATCAACGTGTAAAAAATCGAGAAAATTTTGAGAAACATCACTTCCATCAATTCCCTAATTCCCTGCGCTATTTCTTGAAACTACCTATATGATCAAAAGTGGCTGGGAGCTTATTCACCTATCAGATCGATCAGCACTACTATGTGGCTTTCCCGCACACAATTGCTTTATGAAGCTAAAGATCGAAACTTGTTGTTTTGTTAATTCAATAATGGAATGTATAAGTAGCTTTATGTTAGTATCTTAATTGTAATGTTAATTTTCCAAAACACACCATTTCGCCTAGAACTATTTGCACCAGCGACATATTTTTATCACATTATTTGTTATCAAATTAGGTAAGCATTGTCGAACACCATTACCGTTTCTGTATCTGCTCTTCTGCTACAATATTCTCCCAAACGTGTGCCATCACAGGGGCATCGGCCCTGTTTTTGGTTTCAGTATTCAGATGTGATTAATGATTTTTGATTGTTTGTTTGTATGGTTGATAGAGTTGAAAAAATAAAATAGATTAATAATACAGAATAAATCATACTTCAAACGAGTAATCCGTCACAACAAGATAATACGCTAAAGGGATGAGTGGATGGCCATACAAAAAGGATGCATTTCTGTTTTCTGAGGGATGGAACGATGAAGTGTATTTTTTTATTTTTAACATAGTAACCAGCAGACCAACCTAAGTACATCTGGCGATTTTCAAAGCGTAACTACCAGCACCGTTGCTTTCCATAATACAGAACAAATAAGCCAAATGAATTTTGAAGCTCTCCCATTTCCATAAGAACGTAATTTAACAAACCGAAGCGCGTAAAAATATATACAACAGAGCTGTCTCAAAAATGTATTTTTTTATAGGGGTGCAAATTTTCGATTCCATCAAACTGTGGAACATATCAATTACCGCGGATGAGTCTCTTCCATGATCAACATTTCCCAGATGTGCGACATCACAGCTGCGTCCGCCCTGGGAGAGGGTAATTGGATGGTTCATTTGTGTTCGGGTGTGTGTATGTGTATATATGTGGAGACAATACATGGCCAATTGGGCGAGGTTATGGTTCGTTCGAGAGTGGGAAGACAAATACAAATGGGAGAGAATACATTAGTGGTTTGATTTTTGGAAAACTGTTTTCGTAGACATGCCACAACTGTATGTACAATCTCTGCTGGTTTCATTCCGTTTTCCCGATCTGTGTGGGACATCAGACTATGGATAATGGAATATAGTACAGGATAGTTTGGATGCTGGAAATGAGATTTGTTTTCTTGGCAAACTAGCAGCTTAGTCAAAATACTCACCAAGTGTGTTCGGAATTGAATCCAATCTGAAAGTAAATAAATGAACTATGAAGATATGCTCAAGCGTTTCCTATCTATACCATCACTTACTCTGCCATTGGATCCAACGCAGACGGTAAAGCTCTTATCGAACCATCTGTCATGTCCGTTTCCATGAAGCAGATATCTTCCGAATTGATCCAACTTCTCGGGATGTGGCATATCAAATTCGAACGGATGCTGGTCCAGCGATAGCACGAAGGCAGCACTCTCGATGAGATGCAACGATGTCTTGTTCACACCCTTGACAAAAACCGATTCACGGATTTTGGCCCACTTGGTACGATCGCCAGCGGTCAACGAAGCAAGCAATTCTTCGCCGGCCTGTGGCTTATCTCTGCTGTTAAGGATCTCTTCAATCTGAATCTGAAGCTCACAGGGACGCAAGATACGTCCATTGTGATAGATAACGACCTTGTAGTAGCAACCACGGTGCAGAACCACAATGTGATTGGAATCCTGGTAGTGTACAATCCTGTCAGTTTCGACTCCTGGGACACGAACAGTGTTGAAGATACGTTCATATTGCCATGAGCACAGCGGAACCAGCCCCTGCACCAGAATGGGTTCCAGCTCCTGTCGCTCAACGATTCTTCTGAACTGAAGCAGCATGTTGATTACGCTGGCAGCGCGGGCACTCTGCACCGTAGTAGGTTGCGTGAAGATTGCATCAATGCCGTAAAAGTTGCTGTTCACCATCAGAGCACCACGGCCGCGAAGATAGACGTACTCCTCCCACCAATCGGACACATAGTTGGTGGACCACCAACTCTTGAGCTTCAGATACCGCTGCAGTTTAGGGGCAATAGTGTTTTCAAAGTCTTTGGCAAGACTTTCCATGCGAGAGTAGTTTTCGTCATCCAGTAACGGTCGAACTGAACGCAGGTACTACAATTAGGTAAAGTTTATTAATAGTTTGCACTTTAAACCGAACAGCACAACCTACCCTCGACATAGTCTCCTGGACACTGGGCAGTGGCAAGCGCGGCAAAGAACCCTGAAAACTATATAAACCAGGTTTGTTCCACGTCGCTAATACTTTGACGAAAACGGCCCACAGTCGCGTCTGAAAGAACAATTACCGCCCAATAAGTCAAACAGGTCTATCGTAATTCCTAAGCCATTAAGCAAACTCACCGGCAGGGAAACCTTGCTGCCCGGGGCTCGCTTTTCGTACATCCATCCTTTGTACATGAGTAGTAGTTTCAGCGCGTATCGCATCGTGTAGCATATGCACAGCCAGAAGAGGAGACCCGCTAGACCACAAGCCCCCAACTGATAGCTTACCGTATCTCTACGAAGGGAAAGCAGGTCTAGTTCTAGGTTAAATGAATCAATACATAAAGCACTCTTACTCACCCGGGTAGTACTCCTAGGAATCTATTAACTAAATTGAATGGAACATGTCGCTGTGAAAAATGAAGTGCTATGGCGACAGCTATCACCAGCCAGAGGCTTTGTAGATGTGCAGGATATACGCCATTTCGGACACCGGTCTGCAGAAAATAGGAAAGAAAGGATACAGATTAGACGGAGTGTTTACGGTAAATTGTGTGAAAATTATCTTAAATTACAACTACCAATTTAACATTTTTTTGTTTGTAGATTTTAAATGTAGTTCCCTAAGATGTGCCTAGTGTCGGTCTGTGCCCCTCGTATTGAATGCATGCATACAATCTAAAACTGGACTGTGGCGTCGGAGGCGGATTCAGAGTCGATGGTGAAATTATGCCGAGTACCTTTCCAAACTCTGTAAAAGAACCACTCTGTAGTAAGTGGACACCCCTCTGGGGCCCCACTTATTTCTGGAGCTCCCTTCTGGAATTTCCAGCCCTTCTACGCTTAGAAATTAGTATGTAGTGAAACCTCTTTCTGGGGTTTTCAGAGACGATCCAGCCCACGGCTCAAAGTCTCTTTAATAAAGAAATCGAATCTATACCGACTACCACTTCGATTCTTAGGTCAATATATGTAATTTAGATTTAAATTGTGATACTTCAAAAATTTAATTTTTATATGATTAAACCATGCAATTCTCTTCAGGAGTAAAACCTATGTATAATTGAAAAAAAAAAAAAACTTTACGGAGCCGAATAACCATTTAACAGAATTCATTTCCATTTCCGAACACAGAAGGAGGTCGTAGGGCCAGGCCTTCATCGAAAAACCACTGCCCATACTGCACCAGGGAAGAGATATACGCTTATCGGCACAAATAATAATGCAGGGCATATTCTGACCTAATCAAACCCAACCCAAGCTAATACCAGTGAAAAGCTACAATATTCAGATACAGCCAATTATATACAAATCCGAAATCCCACTATACACAATCAACACAAGCCTCATCCTATCATTACTTATTGAATGTTACTTAACTCTTTCTGCCCTAAAATTAACTTTTTGGCATACATATGATCCAAGATCTGATTACTATTTGTATTTGTTGAAATAACAACACCCACTATTGTCTATAATTAAAAATAAACTAAGCGGGGAGAGTTATTCTACATATTTAATGCCTAGTTGCTTTCCTATTTGGACACCCTGCATCTTATATAATTATCAAAATGAAGTTTATTCAATCTTCCCTTGGAACTTTGTTCCACCTTACCCAGTAAATTATTTTGACTTCCCTATGAAGTTTCTTCTGGCTTCGCTCGAAAGGTTCTGCCGACGGTTTTTTTCAACTTCCCCGGAACTTCAAGGATGCTTAAAGTGTTTTATTGCGGGTCTATTTTTGCTTCAGAAAAACTGCAGGAACTTTTAAGAAGTGAAATTTAATGGTTTTTCAGGACTGTTCCATATTTTTTCGGGGGATTTCAGAGAGCTTAGGGAAGCTCTGAGAACATCAGAACAGATCAATTAATTGCAGGGTCCAGGTGTGGGAGCTGCTTTCCTGGCGTCGGTAGCATTGGTAGTCAGTACGGAAAACAAGATCGACGGAAAACAAATCAAGGGGAAAAAAGTTCAATCAATTTAAAGGGAATTGCTGAAATTTTAAAGGAGTTTAGAGAAACTCGGGGGCTTTCCGAAAAGTTGGGCAAAGCACCGAGAGGTTCATGAAAATTTTGGAAACGCAAGAGAAGTAACATGAAGATTTGAAAATTATGAGATCATATTTGAGGGAAGTTTCAAGGACTTTCAAAAATTAAAAAAAAATCGAGAAGATCAGTGAACTTCAATGCTGATGTCCTATTAATTTCAAGAATATTGTGAGAGCACTTAAGAAGTTCTTAAATCTTCATGAAAGTCTGGATACCTTCAAAGTAGATTAGAGATTTTCTGGTAGTTTCATTATAGTCAAGTAAATTACGAGTATTTTGAGGATGATCAGAGAACTTCAAAACAGCCAAACTTAAGGAAAATTGCAAGAACTTACAACTTTGTATAACTTTGATCCAAAAATTCCTTTGCAAACAAGATGATATTAATAAAGCTCTTGAATCTCTGACACTCCTATAGTTGAAGCAAGAGCTGCCTCAATACCAAAATGCGAGGTTAAATTCGATACAATTATAATAGACGACGATCTTCAACTCTTGATCCGTCTGAAAAATGTCCGTTAGCGGCAATATCAAAGAACACGTGATTCGGCCATGAAAGTGATCTGGCGGGATTTGCAAAAACAAATTAAAAAGCGATTCTCTGCCCTAAGGAACTTTTTTTTTTAAATAACGTGTCAAAATTAGACCCGAGTTCCAAATCCTTTTGGAAACTCACACACATTTTGAAAAAAAACCTCAAAAGCCTATTCCAGTGCTTGATGAAGGTGGTAAAATTTTGATCACTTATTTGGAAAAAGCTCAGATTTCCCATAATTTTAGTTTGGGTCTTACTAGTCCCATTGAGAATCAAGTTGATCGGGATTATCTGAATATTTGCTCTCAGGAAAATATGTTTGATGATTCCTGGGGACTGATTTGGACTAAGTAAGATCTGTAACTACACAATTTCAAAATATTAAAGCTCCAGGTGATGATGGAACTTTCTATGCATCCATAAAAAATCCAGAAGAGTACCTTGTTTTTTTCTTGGTAAAATTATTTAACAGATGTTAACATTTGGCATACTTTTCTGATAAATGGAACAATGCAAATGTTGTTGGAATTTTGAAACCGGATAAAAATCCAGCTGAAGCTTTTACCTACCGTCCAATAAGTTGGCTTTCTTCAATCATCATCATGCACATCAATACGCACTCAATTTTTGCAGATGAGCAGTTTGGATTTCGCCAGTAGCCCCACTCATCAACTCTTAAGATTTACCAATTTATGAATAAAACAAGAATACTCTACTTTCCCCTGCTTTTCTTACGGAGTGAGTAAAGGAAACCCATATGACCAAATCACACTATTGAGCATCTTAATACGATGTTTCCGTTTCCGTACTATTGGGATTATCTGAAATTTCTGTTGGGAGCACAGGTATACCACGATATAACGTAGCTGTCACTTTTGACTTTCATCATCGTTTTCTCGCAAATGGCCATTACACCTTGCAAAGTAAAAACACCATCAGATAGATGAGACAATCTCCCATCTATTGGTAATGTTGGTTTGTATGAATGAGTTGTTATTTGTGAGAAATCGACGATGATAATCAAAAAGAACAGTTATGTTATATTGATGTATACCTGTATACGGAATCTTTCTTGAGATTATTTATAATCGCTGTCATAGTGAGATTCTCTGATTTTCTGTAATTTTCTATATTTGCTTTTTGATTCTCCAGAAATGCTTTGGGAGTTCACTAGTATCATCCTTGGAGTACTTCGGAAAATTAAATGCAGAGATTTTCCCAAAATTTCTCCATGGATTCTCCAATATTCAAATTAAGATTTATCTCTTCAATCCCTCGTGGAATTCATCGGAAGTCATTGTTAGTATTCTATGGAATTTCGATTGGTGTTCTTTAGAATCTTCCTTGGAGTTATTTGGATTTCCGATCTGTTTGATAATGACACTTGGAATCAGGGGTTGAAACAGTTGACGTTTTTTACTACACTCGCTTCGTTGTCGTGCGCGACAGTCTGTATTCGTACACTCATGCTCTACCGTCGTCTCTCTCACACAACACGAACGGTAGAATTAAAGAGCCTGAATTTATAAAGAGACGACATGTCAATCGAGCAGAAGACCTGTCAAATGGATAAGATGTCGCCTCTTTACCCAATTCAGTCTCTTTAGGTAGAATAACATTCGAGCTAAACGAAAATTATCAAAATAACTATCATATGACATGTGTGATTTCGTTGTAATTCCTCAATTTTGTGTAAATTAATCCATTTCTGATAAGATGTTCTAGGCCATCATTGCTTACTATTTTCAGAATTCAAACAACCACAACATCAGCAGCTCTTAGTATGAGAAAAACTAAAATACATTCATTCGTGACGGTCTTCGGCCACAGTGTCGTATGACAGAGCCTGTCATATGACATTTAAGTTTGGTACTGTACTATGATAGCTTGTTTTGCAAGTGTCGGAGGCAGTGGCGGCCCGTAACCTCACTTTTTACCTGTGCACCAACTTTCAAAACCAGATTTAATGCCATATTCATACTCGAATCGGTTGAAAAATACACTTTATCTTCTAGTTTACTCGATATCTATCCATTACAAGCAATATTTTGATAATTGTTTAAGTTTTGAGAGTTTGTGCACAGGTAGATTGAGGTCAAGGTCGGAGGCAAAGGCAGTCAATTATCACAGAAAATGTGTCGACTACCGTGACCGCTTACAAGACTGCTCGGAATACTCTAGAATTCCATTTGATCTTCTATGTATATAATCGCATTTGAGGTTCTTTGTTATCACTCTTAGAATTCTTTAGAATTTCTCTTTGGTTCAGATTATCTCTGTCTCTGGATGCACCGAATGTCTTCTGGGATTAATTGATTGTTATTCGGCAATCCCTCTTGGAATGCTCCAGACCCACAATTGGAGATTAATTTCTAGACTTATTCTTGAAATACTGAAAAACAATAAGCCATGATTTTTTTTTGTCTCTCCATAGAAGTTCAAAGAGCTGTTACTGTTAATTTTTTGCATCAAAATAGTCTAAAATTGCTTGCTGCTGGTTGATGAAGTATTCAAGGTTTATTAGTATAATTTGTGACTTGGTTGGCTTGTTATGTGTAAAGTTAGAATTAATTTAGTAAATTGTTTCTTATCAGGCTACCTTTGTTCAATCTGTTATTTTTTGAAGTACAATGAACCAAATTAGATAAAACATTTATTATTTTGCACAATGAAAGAAATTTAAATTTTTTTTATTTTATTTAAAAAATCCTTAACATATTTGCAAAGACGGCGAAAAACAAGTCAAACCGTTGAAACTTTGTTCGTGGCGAACGGATTATAATAAACATTAAGTAGTTAAGTAGTAGTATTAAGTTAAAATAATAATGTTTTGACTACAAATAATGTAAATTTCAGCTAATTTAGTTTATTGACATCAAGAAAAAAAAATAGACTCGATTTAGCGTGCCATAAT